AACACCTGCAACAGACTGTAGATGGGTTCCTGTTAGCTGACTTCACTTTGAAGCCTTTAAATATAAGATGGAAAAGCTAATTTTATAAAGAAAATTGCTGCCAGACCAGCTCTTTTGTTGGCTAGATCTCATCTCTGCTACTTGATCTCACTGCTGATCGAACTGACTTACAAACCTCTGTGAACCCCATATTGGAGGCAAAGGTATTGAGGAAACAGAGCTCAACAGAGCATGATTATCCCACCAACTGTCTTGACTTTTAAACAACTTAAACACCTTAAAGTGGTGCTTGTGACCTCAATCTTGTATTTAGATCTGAGTGAGTAGAGCAGAAATCTGAAGAGCTAAGGAGGTAATGTGTAAGGGGGGAAAAAGTCTTCTATATGTAAAGAGTAGGATGACCATGGGCAGAAACATCTTCAAAACCAATGCTAAAATGAAAAGTAGCAAGTGTGAATAACATGCAAGGAGCTTAAGCAAATAATTTTTAACACATTTGAAGAAACAGCAAGGTACTCGTACTGATTTCACTATGAGGATGGGGTGGTGGTGGGGAAATGCAGATTTCTGGCATATTGTAATGTGGAAAGCTGCGATGTAATGAAGTTGTAAATATTTCTGTCATGAAATCATCTTTCATTATTGTAGAGTATTTCAACACAAGACAAAACTGAAGGAATGAGATGGACAATGATTCACAAGATAGAACCTTTTGTGCATTTTTTTGTTGATTAAATAAATAATGGGAGTCATGAATTGTGAGACCGGAAACTAAGCATTTCTTGGCCCATTGGTAGAGAAAATATATACCAAATTTCATTAGAAAATGTTGAGGTTCCAACTGTTGAGATGTAATCTGTCATGGTGCTGCCTAGTTCATTAATAACTTACTGGAGCATGTGTTATGGATGCTGAATCTTTACCACAGATGTATGAAAAAACAGAATTAAATGTTCTTGGAGTATTTATGTAAATAAAGTTAGTTCTGTACTTTTGATCTTTTACGTAAGCAAAATTAATGCAGATCATGGGTAGGAAGGAAATGCCTCCTATGAAATAAATGAGTGTATAACTATTTCTGCAGGAAAAAAAAATCTTGCTCATGTTTATTCACCTGTTGTTACTGAGGTGATTACTGGAACTTACATTTGCAGACGAAAGTGTGGGAGAAAGAGCTATTTGCCTTGGCTGGTGCTCTGTGTAGCAATAGCCTTGGTGATGGATGTTCTGGGGAATTTTGGACTTACCAACCTGAAACTAGAGAGATAGGAGAGCCAGAACACAAAGCAGAGGTAACCACTTCAATCTGTTAGTAGGTGAATGCAGTTTTCCCTCTGGGACTTGGCAAACATACTGGCAATTTGTTTTGTCTGATTACAAGCACTTCTGATGTTTGTTAAATACTATCTTTGAGCTGTAGTTTCACATTGTACCTTGGGCCTTCCCGCCAGCCTTGCGGAACATGTGCAGACTCTGTCTCCTTCAGTTGAGCGGGAAGGCGATGACTGTATCAGCTCTTTGCTGTGCTTTTTTTTTTCACTTGTTCTGGCTTGCTTCCCACTGAGAAAGCGGTGTGCTCCAGGGAAAAGGATTTGCGGGAGGACGGGGTTGTGGAGGAGGACCTGAAGGCGCCTCTCCTGCCTTCCTGTGAAGTTCTAGGCCTCATGGCATCCCTTCTCAACCACTGCAGAGCTGGGGTTGCACGGCGGTCTGCAGCCTCTGGTGGTACTTGCCATAGCTAAAACCCCACACTTGCATAGGTCTCTCAGCATGGACCTATCCTATCCTGTGGGGTACGTGTCTCTCCCAAGGCCCTGGATACTTGCTGTATAAGGGGAGTTGTGCATAATCCCAAATACAAGATGAACTTTTATATAAAAGTGTTTTCAGCTGCAGTGATATAAATTACTGTAGCAATTTAAGAATAAAAATGGTTTTGTTTAAATAAGAATATACAGAATCTGGTTACTGGTGTAATATAACTAGTCACCTCTGCAGAAAAGAATAGTACGTGCTATTCTTAGAGTTTTGTTCTGACTCAGTCTAGTTGCAGAATGTTACCTGGTGCGTTTTAGACCTGATAGGCCCTGCACGTTCACTACTCCCCTTTTAGCATCACCTAGATACTGAGACTGGATGTGAAACTGAGAACTGCACTGTTATAATAGAGTATGAATTTCATCACTTAGTGAATAAGAAAGTAAGCCAACACATTTAAAGGCTAAATATGATCTAATTGATAGCTCTTTAAAACAAACAAACAGCTTTCTAGTGTTCTTTAGGGAGTCCCAAAAGTCAACAATTCTAAAGGTCAGATACAGTTATTTGATATAGTAATTGTATTGGTGTAAGTTTTATTTTGTCAAATGTAATCTGTTTGAGGAAATGCCATTGTTAGGATTTTTAACTTTATTATTAAATTGAGAAGAAAGAATTGTGTTAACTTATTTGACTATTTTTAATGTTTTATCTTTCTTCACATTAATCATTAAAAGCTACTGTTAGCAAATACCTTTTAATGTTGTCTATCAATGGAAAGTACATCTGAACTCATTCAAGTGCTGCTAATGATAATGCTAAGAGCAGTGATTTGTTATTGCTGCTGCATTAGCTACTGTTATTATGAATCGCGTGACCTGATGAATACAGTGTTGTTGTCATGCATGTACTAATAGAGAAGGAAAATAAAGAGCAATATCTTTACTAATTAGCAATAAATATATTTTGAGGAAAGTTCTATCAGTTTAGAAACAACTTAATCCTTCTAGGAGGAAGCCCTCAGTAAATATGAACTCTGCAATGGTAAGGGATATTAAGCATATAACTCTTTACTTTTGGGACCAGGAGCTCTTTGGCTAGTCACTGTCACAGGTCTGCTTCCCTGCAGCAATTGTTTCGCTATAGTTCCTACAGGGTTTCTTTGACCTGAGGCTGTCACATTTGCAATGTAAATGAAGCCAAAATGCGTTGTAATGTAGAGATATCAAATTTGACAGCAGCAGTGAGTGCCCTATTCCTGTCTAGATTTCCTGCAGAGTATCTGCTGAGTGGTTTATCTGAGCTGACTGTTCTCCTCTTAATGCCATAATCCTTCTCTATAGAGTCAGCATAAAGGGAAAGGTTCATCTTCTGTGTTAACAATTCTTTCCTCACCACAGTGAGGATCCCTTGAAGCCTTCTGTACAACTGAGGTCAGGCTCATGCTTGCTATGTATCTTGCTTTAGACCTGGGCATAAATTCCAGCAAGAGATTTTCATTTAAAATTGTAGATAAGGAGTTCCTGGAGTCTTACACAACTGAAAGAATAGGTTGTAAAGGACCATTTTAGGTGTTGACACTAGGATGTACACACAGTGGAACAGTGATACAACTGCATTTAAATAATGTGACCCACGCACCTCAATGAGTAGGAAGTCTGGTTTGTTTACAAAAGCAATGCAATGAGGCTATTCCTTAAACTATTATTGATTCTAGGAGGACCCGGAAGGGAGGAGGCCTTGTAGTATACTGGCAAACAACAGGAGCTAGCCAGCTTGACTTGAGTCAAGGCTCAGAGAATGCCAGGGTTTTTAACAAAACTGGACAACAGGGTTTCAGAACAGCCATAGCAAGCCAGAATGGAGATTCACCTGCCCCAGGCACTTGCCTCTGTCCATGACCAACAGGTGGTAGAAAAGAGTGTAGTTTTTTTGTTTGTTTTGATATTTTTCTCTCACTTCCTGCATTCTCCAACATTCTCTGGCTCAGAGAATGCTCTGGCTCTTTCTAAGGCAGATAACATGTTGTGCATTTAATACTTATCTGGTATCAATAAATTACTATGCCTCTCTTCCCCAGAGTAATCTATATTGTGCATCTCAGTGCCATCACCGCTCACAATGATTTTTGGGAAGAGAAAGAGTTTATCGTTAGCATAGTCTCACATTTAATATTTCATTCTACTGCAAAAGGAAACATCTTACAGGATCACAATAGTTTCGAACTAGTGTTTCCCATAGGAAGATTAGCCAATAAATTAAGGACCTTAATCAGATTAATTTGAATAAATATTTTCAATGTGCAATCACCCTAGAGGATCAGTGTGATGCTGTATGGGCTTCCAGCACCACTGCCATTGTGACTTGTTCTTGGACCTTGCTCCTTTCATACCTTGGAATAACATGGACTGAGCGGGTGCTAGAAGTGTGCTGACTGTCTCTGCCCTTTGGGGCCTCTGTTGAAGACACTGAAGGAACTGAGAGATTCCAGTTATAACAAGACTTGAAGACTGTTTGCTTGTTTGTTTTTCTTTTTGAATGAGGTACAACATATGTTGATACTGGATCAATAGATCAGCAAGTCTGTTTGACAGTTAATGCATGAGGGATTGATGGAGACCTGTTTATATTACAAGATGTTTTTCTAGTGGGGTATGTGGTATTATACGTTGTAGTCTGTAGATTAAGTACCTTTACAACATACATGGTGCATCAAAATTCAATGTACAACTAACTCTGCACCATATGAACACTGTACTGTATTGGTCTTCCTTAGATTTCATTATATCTCTTCCAAGTAACAAAACTAGGAAATGTAGCAACGCAGACTACTTGTTTTTTTTTCTTGTGTGTTACAAACAACCAAATAAGCAGTTATTTCCTAGAAGCATCACTCTTTTTTGTACCAGATCTTTCAATTGAAGAACATTGAAAATATGTTGCTAGAGCTGTTGAATTTCAATTTAAAAAAAACTGTAGAATTTATTTATTTTTGGTTGAAAGCTTTCTGAAATTTATTTTTCCCCTGCTCTTCAGTTTTTTTTATTGGAAGGCTGGAGGTGGAACTTCTCCGTTAGAGAAGAAGGGGACAATAGTTTCTCATCAGATCAAACATCAACATAACAGCTTAGCAGATTAATATTCATGTATTGCCTGACTCTCTCTGTCTACTTAGACTTTAGAAACACTTGCCTACCAGAAGAGAACTTTTTCAAGGTTTTCATCTTTTACCTTTAATTTACTGTTGAATTATTACTGTCAGTCTGAAGGCTGTGTTTGAGTTTTTGATAGAATTTTGATTCAAGAAATCGGGGGTAGGAGTCTCTTTCCATGTGCATGTAAATTATTCTCTGTGCTTCATCAAAACAGGACTCTGTTGGCTCTTGAAGGTTCCTGATAATCCTTTTCCTCACAGGACTGTCAATGTTGATCTGAAACATAAAACAGCATTATTAAAGTTACACTGAATATCTGGAAAGGAAAGGCAAGGAAGAATGAAGCTAGGTAAACTGCATTGAATGCCTTATATACATGTGTGATGTGAGAGTGTGTGTGTGGTTTATGTTATTTGGAATGTAGGAAGTATATGAGACGCTGCCAAAATAAAGACGGAACAGAAATCAGTTTAATGTTCATGCCTTTAAATGCTTCAGTTTTTGGTTTGATTTCTAGTGAACTCAAATGAACAGATTCTCGGTATCTAAGAACACCACTCTTGAAATCATGATGGTCTCTGGATAAAGGTAAAATAGAACCTATATATCCAACTTTGAGAGTAGAAAGGTTTAGCAATAGGCAATGTTCCAAATAAAATGGGAGCTTTATCATGATGGGTTAGCCCAGGATGAATTGCATTGCTTCTGGCAACTTAACTTGGCTTTTTGGTGTTGAAAGGAGAGCTCTAACAGTGTGAGCTAGAGCAGATGTCTTGAGTGTGTTGGGACTGTGCTATTCTAGGGTCATTTGATTAAACCTTTTAAATACTGCTGAACTTTGAACACAGTAGTATCTAATTCAGTTTAATAGCAAAGAGCATGAAATCAGGGTGTCTTGAAGAGCTAGAATCCAGAAAGCTATTAACATGGTTCAAATACTTAGTACTTTGGGAACAGGGGAAAAAATTGCACAGCTTATATTTAGCTATCCTGATTGAAGGCTTTACTTTTGAGTAATGAATGTGTGGTTGGCAATACTGACATCTCTCTTTGGAAAATTAGTATCTTGCTGAATTTCCTATGGCCTGTACATGCTAAAAATATAAGAAATTGGAAAAAGAAATGAGAGAAATATGTTGCCTTTCAAATTATGATTTAAACCTGTACAAAGGAAAAAATCTGATTTCCTAAAGTTTTAGATTAGTGGGAGTATTTTAATTGTTTAAAGCTGTAAATGCTCTCAAACAGCATCTGGGGATGAAGCTGGATTGTTTTGGGCTTGCCCTTCAGCATCAACAGGCAGATTTATATTCTGAGAATCTTTAATAGTGTGTGTGTGTGTGTGTGTTTTTCCGCCCCCCCCATGATTTTTTTTTTTTTCCCTGAGTTCTGTTACCTGGCCAGGGCCTGCTGATATAAAAGCAAAAGAGCAATAAGCAGCAATGGTTCTAGGTTGTAGAGCATGACCTGCTGAGCAGGAATGACTTTTTTCTTTGTATAGCTAGTAGTGATGGGAAAAAAATAGTTTTTGAATGCTTTACATTTAAAAAAAATCCAAAAACTTTAATCGCTTTCTACTTAAAGCGGTACAATGTTTAGGGAAAGCAGATCAGTTTTTTGTTTGTTTGCTTTTTCTGGACAGTTTTCTGAGGGGACAAGAGTGGATAGAGTTTTTTTTTTTACTTTACTTCATATCTCTTTACTTTGATAAAGACTGGACTAATGTATTCATGGAGTAATGGTCCAACCCAGTCTTTACTGGAGTGAGAGCCACGGCCCCTGGATCACACTCTGAAAAGAGATCAAAGAACTTGTTTCTGAGCATGTTTGTACCTTTCACAGGTATCCTTGGTAGATTTGGTTGAAGATGGTGAAGATGTGGGGTCAGGTACTGAAATCCTGGGTGCAGAAGGATTTGGGAAGGATGGATGGCAAAGGTCTTTGCACTTTTATACAAGAGGTACAAAACACTTGTAATTGTATTTTGTAAACCACATTACAGACATTTCTAGCAAGAAAAGGAGCAGCTCATATTACAGTAGTTCACCTCATTGGGAGCCTGGGGTTCAATGTAGTTTGTAAAGAGTTTCCTGGCCACTGAAATCCTCTTCCTTTGTGATGTGATCTTCTTGTAGGCTTCACAAGCAAGCCAGAACTTGATGTTTTCCTCGCTGTGCTCAGTCTCCAAGTAAGTCTGGTAGATCACAGGCCCATCTGTAAATATTTCAGAAGCCAAACTTTTTGTACAAGGTGCATTACCTTTAGGGACCTTTGAAGGCAATAGGGATGTCTACAATGCTTCGTTCTACGCCCACCTACAAACATTCTTATTAGAAAGGTTATAAGTGAGGAATTGAACACTTGAACTCACCCCAGAGCCCTAGACCTCAAGCAGGTATTTCCTTACATGTGTAGAGCTCCTTTGACTTCAGTGGTGTTTTGCTGTGTAGGGGCATGGGAAGCCTCGTGCTTCCTGCCTTGCAGAAACACTATCAGATATATCCAAGGACTGAAGATTATTTTGAAGTTCTAGCTCCAGCTTTGCATAGGAGATATCTAAGTATTATCAAGTAATCATGATCAGCATAAAAATAAAAATCACATTTTTTCCCTTTCTTCCTAAATTCTTATACCAAGGAAAGAGTAGTTCTCTTTCCTTGCTGCTATTAATTGTATAAGATGAAGCAGTGACAAGAAAGTTCTGTTCAGTACATGAGCAGTTTTACATATAAGGACACATCTTTCCAACCCTGTTACCAGGTGTTTCGCAGTGACAGTTGGTGGGACCTTAGCAAAGACTAGACTTTTGAGGGTGGGTTGCTTGTTTGTTTGTTTTCTTGTGGTCCTTTCATCTGACCTGCTTTCTAGATGGTAGAGTTGCTAAAATGCCTAAGGCCAGGAGAACACTTAGGAGGCTTTGTCCAGTGCTGTGTCTTGTTGAGCATGGTGAGTGCTTACAACTCTTAAGTCATGCTTATATAAATAGTAAAGTCTATGTGGGATAATTTGGAGACCTGAACAAAGCGTGGGGCAACAACCTGAATGCATAACACAAAAGGTTGAATTTCAGTAGTTGTACGTGCAGTGTAGCGCATACCCTGTGTGATGACTTCTTGACATTCTCTTACAGAAACTTTTTTTTTTCCTCCAGTAATCTAGCTTGGATTAAACACATTGTTACTTACATTTACTTGTTATCAGCTTTTCGAAAGACTGGGACCACTGGAGAACTTCCTCCAAAGACAACCTTCAGAGAAGAAAGGAGATGATGATTGCGCTAGGAGGTAGTTTGCTATGGCTAGAGCCAAGTATACAAGTAGCAATTTTGAACTGACAATCTGTCCTCTAATTTAAATGGGATATGTAAGAATTTTGTATATAAAAAGGCTTTTCTGCATGTTTCAGTTCCTATGCTAACTATGCTGAAGAGTGTACTCTTCTTGTTCTACTATATATTCAGTTCCATCTGAAGGAACTTCTAGATAATTCCTGCAAAAATGGCACGTGCGTATTTGGTTAATGTGTAAGGAAAGCAGTAACTTTCTAGACTATAACTTCTCTGGGACAGGGATGTTGAGAGTTAGGTTCGTATTTGGTAGCAGTCCGAGGGCTCTGGATCGTCCTGTAATACCTAAAGGCCTTTCCGACCCAGGCTGCAGCCAGCTGCCTTGTCAGCTGAGATCTGGAGCAGGAGACAAATAACACAAGGTTAATACGCATTATCCAGCCCATCTCCTGCTGTTTATAACCCAGTATGACACATGTTGCTAATCTGGGCCCACTTCTTGGTGGTGACTGAAGAAAAAATATATATTTTTCTTGATGCTTGTTATTCTCAAGTGATAGTTTCACAAGATTGTAGGAATCTCTTGGTTGATTCTGCGAAAGAGTATGAAAGCAGCGAGGTGAGAGACTAAACAATTTGATGAAAAATAAATATTTGGTGGCCGGACTGCAAGTGGACTAAAGTTATCATGGCTCCATTTATGCTAGGTGACTTTTTCAAAGCATTGCAGTTAGAGGACCTATATGATGGTAATTTAAAAATGCTTATGATTATGTTAGTAGGAGGAAGCACAGGCTATGTATTCTGATACGTGCTCTTGTCTCTGCTTCCCAGGTTTTCTCTACTCAACAGCAGGATTTGTGGCCTTTTTAACTGGCGATTGCCCTTTTATTTTGGCTGGGCCTTCTTCTCCAGAGAGCACAGTACCAGGCACGTCACCACGAGCACGCTGTGCTCTTAGCTCTCTAGTAACGCCAGGAAACCCAGGCCTGCTTCTTGTCAAAAGGCATTTTCCTCATGCAGTGTTGGCCACCTTTTTGTAAACGCATGAAGCGTGTGCTTATTGGAAGTGAGAATCTTGCTCCTCTACATCTTTTTCTCTTTTCCTTTTTAAGAGCTGCCTCTGAGTCATGCTGGCTGTCGCTGCCACAGATAATTTTTTAGCTCAGTCAGCAAGGCTGCTTCTGCATCCATCTCACTGCCTCGATGAGCATCAGCAGCAGGGCCTCTTATTTCCATGTCGGGTTATTTGCCTTCAGCAGCCATCTGTGCAGCCAAAAGGAGGTCATGCCTGAGGGGGCAGCTGACACAGAGGAAAACCTTTCTCCTCTTTTCCTTTTTTTTTCCTTTTTTTTCTTTTTTTTTTTTTTTTTCTTTTTTTTTCCTGAGCTCAGTAAAATGTGAGCACAGGTTATGAGGAGCTGCATTGTGCTGTCTTGGTCGTAGTCTTTTTGATGCAGTGACGTGCTACCTGATAGCATCCGCCTTGCACGTGGAAGGGATCCACGCACATATTCAGCACTTTTCAGGGTACCCTTTGCGTTAGCAGCAAACACTTGGCTGTATGAAAGGTGCCAAAGGTGCTGCATGCTGCACATGACATGAAGCCTATGCAGGAACTTCCACAGTGAAGGATTTTTTTCCCCCTCTCTTTTTCCCTCTCCTACTCGGGCAGGTGGGTGTGTTGCAGAACATAGGAGTATTTATCATTACTTACTTGGTAGTAATCCTGTTTTTCTTTGCTTTGAGTATCTTGCAAAACCAGCAGGTATTTAGACTCATTTTCCTAAACATGAAAAATAATGAGTTTTAAACCTGCTGTGCTCAGTCTTGTTACCTTATATTTTTGCTTATAATTCAATATATTTTGCCTCTAATTCAGTATAATACAGTCTCCTCCTTGTAGCATTGCTACCAGTTCTAAGAGTATTCTTATTTTATGGATTTTTAAACTTATTCTGGAGACGGGAGTTGTGAGCTGAAACTTGTTTTATTCTCCTTTGGCTTTCAAGAGATGCCAAATTCTTTGCTAAGCTTGTGTGGTGCACTGGATGACCTGCCTAAAACCAAATATTCTTCCACAGTAACTACTTAAACTTCCTTTCAGCTGGGGGTTTGCTGGCATGTAGTGCTTGTGCTACTGTAGTGGCTTGACTGCTGTAGACTTGCCTGAATCGCCTTATTTTAGAATGCCAGATATCCTGTATTTTGCATGTTCTGGTATCCTAATCACTGGTCTACTTAACACCAAAATACAAACAAAATACAAACTGTTGCTTGTTTTGAAACCTCAAGTAGCTAATAAAGCTGAACTGTCATACAGAAATAACCTAGAAATATTAGATTCTAATCTAATTCAATCATTTCTAAATGAGTTCAAAGCATCAGTCAGTAATTTTTCTCCCTGTGGTTGCTAGATGGAAAACCACATTGCATCAGGAGATCTTGTTGTTCTTAGGAACCTTTTTAATTTGAGCTAGAGGCTTTAAACAAATGCCATGCCCTTACGTGCAAGTAGATTTTCCGTGCTGGCAATGGCATTATTCCTACAGCAGGATGGATATATTGCATAAATTGCAGCAGAGAAAGCTGTAGCTTTATGCCAAATTTCATAGCAGGCTAAAATTTCTGAGTTCTGAATTTCTGTGACCCTGCCTGCATTAAGGTCTCATCTTCTGCTGTAAATCATAGCACGTAACCATCAAAGTACATCCAAATTGCTCATCCAACTGTGCAGCTGGGCCGCAGGGGATATTTTCACCTGATACATATGATAATACATCTAATAACCATTTTGTTAGCTTACTATAAGGTTTTATCACAATAAAGGTGCAAATTTTACAACGTATAGGAGTTATACTTCCTGCAGCTCTTGTAATCAAAAGGAAAGTCATATGGTCACAGCACTATAGGAGAATGACTAACCTGTCTGATAATAGGTGAATCAAAGACCTGAAAGTATTTCTTTAAAAAAAAAAAAAAAAAAAAAAAGGGGGGGGGGGGGGGAGCTACAAGCAGTGCTGATCTGGAAATGATATCTTAATTCTCTATTTTTATATTGGAAAATACTGAAGGCTGCTTTGGTAGGTCAAAGAACAAGGAGTTTACATTCAGACTGCAACATACACTGTAGTTTACAACATTCTTGCTATGCTATAATCTGTCAACTACCCGATCTCCCTATTTTTAATACACAGAGTTGGTTCCTGTAGAGTCTTTGGAAAGAAACACCTATATAAAAATTCTCCTCAGTTGCCTTCTGTAATCTCACTCAGTTTGACTGGTACCAAGAATATTACACAAAATATTTGCATGGAAATAGAGATGAACTTGTTTATACATCAGTAACACTTTGAAAATGAATGCCTCTGCTATGCTGAGGTAACTTTACATACCAAGTGGAAAAGGCATATTTCCTTTCCTATGCTACACGTTTTTTCCTGGTAATATTTGTAAGTACAAAGCCTTATACTTACAGAACCTCTTCTTGGGTGGTTGCCTGTGGTTAAAATGTCTCATTTAGTAGTCGCCTTTATTTCCCAAAGTTTCCAAATTCCTTGACCTGTATTATTCTTCATTATTTTCTTTTAATGCAGGAGGTCTTACTGCCCTTTGTCTGCGTCTCCACTGTTCATGCTAGTGCCGGAGTCCTTTATTATGCATACCATATGCAAAGAGTGCCTGTGGTTTCACCAGAACAAGTTCAGTTGGACTCTGATGCATGGCTGATAGAGGCTGTTTGCTCTGAAATTATCTTGACATCTCTACTGATCAGCTGTAAGGCAATGAAGCTAGGTTTTACTTTACTGAAATCTTGCATGTACTGTCCAAGTTTTATGACTAATAATTTCCATCCCTTTATCAAAGTTACTAACATCTAACTCTAGGGTCCATGCTTCAAACAAATGGTACAAGGGGCCACAAACAGAAGCCACATAAGTAAATGTTGCTGATACTGTGACTCTAATGGCTGAAAAAGTACAAAAAGGAAAATTTCAATTCTGTTTCTTATGTCTCCACTAATTATTAAAAAATTATTATTTGATTTTCCATACTTGTTGCTCTCTCTGAAAACCGTGGGAATATGGAGAGTATGTGGCAGACTCAACAGGTCTGCTGCTATTTAGACGATGCCACTCCGTTAGTGTTCACTGCAAACGTGCTTTTACAGTTTGCTGCTTCTGGGGCCCTTCCTTAGCTCAACATCCAGAAAGTGCCTTTCTCCTTCCCTCCCCAGAATACCTGGGAGCCTTGGTGATTACCCAGGAGAGGTTTTTCAATGAAAATGTAAGCGACTGAGCCCAAATGACGTTTTTTTCTTATTACTTGAGTACTCCACTAGATGTCACCTGCTGTCACCCTGAAGAAGGCGGTACTTTTTCTTGTCTTTTTTTTTCCTCCTCTGAGTATCACTTCAAGCAGGGTCTCTGCAGGCTCTGGGAAAGCTCTTTGCAGGTTCAAGGCAAAGAACAGTCTCATCCAGCCTGGGAGGAGGGACCAGCAGATAACTGAAGCATAGGGTGAACAGGCTTTCAGAGTGTGTGTGTGTGTGTGTGTACGCACCATGTCAGAGCTGCTATTTTTTTCTCTCCTTTTTTGTCACCCGCAACCCTGACTTTGAACCACCCATTGCTGAGTGGTTGAGAGCATGTTTGACCAGCTTGGTCACAGCAGCTCTTTCCTTTTAGCCCAGGGTGATGCTTACAGATCCCAGCAGTTTTTCTCACTTGCATTCTCTAGAGCCTCATGGAAAATGAGCTATGCCCTGGATTGTGTCTGCTTATCCTGTCCCACCACAACCTCTCCTGGTTCTCAGAGTGATCTTAAAATGTCTGACAGACATGACATTATGCAAAAAATACAGCAAGGCTGTCTTCAAGATTTACTTGCTACTCAAGAGACTGTTTAAGTGTCCATATTGGTTTTCTCTTTCTGTAACCATTTGGCATTAGAGATATGTACTTTGTCAGCCTCCCTCATCCATATTCTCCTATTTCCTTTTCTGTTTTCTCTTGTTTTCACTTAGCTAGTAGTACCATTTTTAATTCTCATGCCTTCTCTCTATTTTTTGCTCTTATTCATTCTTTCCTATTGGGTTTCTATTTTAATTCCCTTCTGCTCAATAAATATCTCGCCCACCTACATGTGTTTCACAGCAGTGAACCTGGAAGCTCTGTCCCTCTTGGGTTTTCTCAGATTGATGCCCGTGCTTTCCATCTACCCACGTGCTGCCTTGCTTGCACACAGCTCCCCAGCCTCCCTGCTGTGCACCCACGTGCTGCCTCTTGTGCACCTAGGAATGCTGCTTGCTGGGGCTAGTTCCCTGTGCCGTGTCTTATGAGGGCATGTAAATAGGAGCACTGAGGACATGCCAGGAGGTCTGAGACGTATTCCAAAAGAAAGCTTAGGTAAAGCATTGAGGCCCTTGATAAAACTAAAGAGCAGAAGGTGGATGCCTTGATCTAAGTACTGCTCATCCTTGCCATGCAGGAAAAAGCTACTCCTACAGGTATCAGAATTCCTAGAATAGGTTCAGGTCCTCCTTGCAGTACACTATGGCTAAGGAGCAGTCTGTGGCTCTACACATGAGGCAGTGGTTTCTGTTGCCAGGCAGATATAGGCATAGCTTGCTGATATTTAGTGACTTCAAGAGTTCCAGTGGTTTCTATATTTATGTTTTCTTCAGGCTTCTATGCTATAGGTTTGGACATATCCCTCATAGCTGCCAATGTCCACAACCTTTTAACTGAGTGCTCCCCAAGCACCTGTTCAATGCTTGAACTGCAGTTCAGACACCCCGTCTTGCGTCAGAGGTGTGCTCTGACCTTTCTGTTCTCCTTTCCCTCCTAAAAGCCCTGAAGTCCCATGCGTGCCTCAACCGTCAAAGCAGAAAGAGGAAATTGCATGACTGAAGGCTTGGACTACATTTAAGTGAACTTTCACCTTCTCGTGGTGCTGTGGTTGGGGTAAGAGGTGCCACATGCCCTAGATTGCTGCAGAACCTGGTAATTAACTACTGCACCCACTGGACTTCAGTAGGGCTTTGTGCTTAACACTTCATGGGAGGATCCTGGGCGACTGCCTTAGTGACAAGTTACTGATTATTATTTGGCCCATGTTGGCCAGAACATCTGACCATGTTTGCACAGGGCTTCCTGCCTTCCAGCTGTTTATTTCCAGCACAAGCTCTTCCTAATTTGGCTCTGGGCTTTGAAGACCATGTGTGCATTGCTCAGACTGACATGAGCAAGCATGTTGTTTTGCTTAAACTCTGGATCTTGTTAAATAAGAGGCCTCTCTTCTGCATCTATAAAGCTGTCTTATTGACCTTTATGGTTGTCAAACCATTAACTGCAGTAAACATAGTACAAACTTTTTTCCATAAGTGTTATGAAATTCATGGCTTTCTCAGTGGTTACTACTATGCAAAGGATATTTATTTTATTTTTAAAAGTTTTCCTGTACTCGCACCAGCAACATGGAAGGGAAAAAAAAATCCTGACTCATTTTCAGAGGTGTAAAGTCTGTAGGCAGATGTACTGTCACTTTAGTACACTGATTATACAAGAAACCTTGAGAAGTGTTGTTGATCTGTATCTGCACACATGTCTAGGGTGATGCTGGAAAGTTTGCATTTCTGCATGTCACTTTTCATTTGAACTAGTTTGAATTTTATCAGTGAAAGGGAGCCATGTGAAAACTGGTCCCTGAGTTCCTTAAGCCTGGGGAATACTTAGACTATTCAAAGAGGCTGAAGGCACAGTGCTCAGTGAGATTAACATGTTGAACTGCTTGGGAGTCTTTCAAAGGAGTGCTTTCTGGCCCTATTTTGAGAAAGAAGGGGAAACAAGTTTGTTTCTTAAAATGAACATATTCCGCAGAGATCTACATCTTTTTGCAACTAAAACTTTGAGGTTGCATTTACCCAAACAAAATTGGAGAATAACCTTAAGACTTATCTGTTTTTGTTTTTGTACACCCAAGACATACTTGAGCAGTCTTTTAGCAAGTGGAATATTAAGCAAAACTTGGTTTGTGATTTCTGCTTATGCTCTGTGACTAAAGACTTCCTTTCATAAAGCTTCATCTATAGGGATTGCACTGCTGACACAATCAACCCATGTCTGTGAATGGAAGATGAGAGCATGTAATCTTTCCACCTACTGCCATGTATTCTTTGCTTCTCAACCCATTTCACAACCACAGAGAAGACAATGACATTCACAGTCTGTTATTTCAGTGTGTGGGCAGGGAGGAGTGGCGTTTAGCGGTCTAAGGTGATGAATTTGTGTTATTCTTTGCCATCTCAAAGGGGCATCGCCTCTAACTTCCTTCCTGCTTCACAGTGCGTAACTATAGGATGTCTCTACTAATCGGCTTTTTGGTTAGCATTTTCCTTACATGTAAGTAATTAATAGGTTATACCATATTTTTATAATATTTTAGATAATATTAAATATACATTTTTCAGGTGTTATATTTAGACAAAGTTTTCCAAAATGGAGAGATGAAAGTCAATCTTCTAAATCCACATTTAGGCAACTGCGAAGCTCATCTACTGAGTTAAATAATATTTTAGATAATATTAAATATATATTTTTCAGGTGTTATATTTAGACTAAGTTTTCCAAAATGGAAAGATGAAAGTTAATCTTCTAAATCCACATTTAGGCAATTGCGAAGCTGATCTACTGAGTCCTACTGGAAAGAAGACTTCCCTTTGGTGCAAGGAGAAGTTAGCTCATTTCAAATGTGTGTCCCAAGATGGTATGATTGTCTGAGGGTTTTAAGTACTGAAAACTGTTCCTACCAGGTAAAGCAAGGTGTTTGAAGAGAGTCCCAAGTCATTGCTATCAAATCTTAAAGCTTATCTCCCTGCTGCATCCTGTTTTCCAGTGCTGGTCTGCAGCTGATGGCAGATCTGATTTAAGGTTTTTTTCTTAGAGTCCATGAATGGATTCTCCATTCTTTTTTTTTCCAAAGCTAAAACTAACCAAAAAAATCAATTTGGATTTTGATATATGTGTTTTATTAAGGGTTGTTTAACAGACCTTATAGCCAAGCAAAAGTTTGAGTTTAGTTTTACACAGATTGGTTGTTTGAGAAAGTTTGAGCACTTAACTAATAGTTAAATAATAATTAATTCAGTGAGCACGTGCTGAAAAGGGATGTTTCCCTCAGTTGCTTACTAATTTGTTTACAAGTAGGTAAATGGAACCAATATCGACAAGTTTTTTTGAGCAGGGGAACTCTCCAGAGAGGCATATTTTCCACGTTCTGGTGTGTAACGTGTACTTTTTTGGAGGAGGCTGCCATGCTTGGTGGTGTACAGCCCACAGCTGTGAAACTAATGTGCACTACTGAGGCTATTTGTGTGCTCAGGTTGGGGGAAGAGATTATGACAAAAGTCACAAATGGACTTGATATGGTGCATGTACCATGCAAAGTTTGCAAATAAGCAAAAAGCCCTCGAGTCCTTAATCTCTTTGAACTATCTGTTCTGCTATTTCCTTGAGTCCAGAGAACCTCCATTTAGGCAATATTTTAAAGGAAGAATTCACTTCAAAATAGACGCTATGTATTGAAATTCTTAAGACAGTTTTTGCAGAAATAATAAAAATACTTACCTCTCTATTATTTACATGCTTTAAAAATATTCAAATGTATCTCAAAATAATATATTTTCACTTGTACCATTAAGTTATGGCTAGAGCCTCTTGTCTTTACAAAGCAGGCTAGTATGGCCAGCACTAAAGCATAGTAAAATATTTTCAGAACTCTTGTACTTTGTTTAAACACACCCGGCTTTGTATAGCCCTGCTATAGCAACAGCTATATAATGCTGAGCTTATGACACCATCACAGAGACAGCTCTGAGTCTCTGTTGCACTATTTATTCCTTGGTGAAACACGGTAATGTTGCTAGGGATAGTGGAGCGGCCTGGAGTGTCTCTCATATTAATAGACTTTGGTCCTCTGTAGTCGTGTTTTGGGCTCTTATCATATATGAGGTGAACAACTTGGAGATGTGTGAAAGTTGGACTGTAAAGACAGGAACATTTTTCAGAATACCTTTGGAGGGCTCTAACCTGTGCTTGTGCCTCACATCCTTTGCTGGAGGTATACGGCCTAGTGAATGCACCACCGCTCAGAGCTGATGAGGTTGCACCTCGAATACTGTGTTCAGTTTTGGGCTCCTCACCTACAGAAAGGTGCTGGAGCACGTCCAAAGAAGGACAATGAAGCTGATGAATGGTCTGGAGCATAGACCTTATGAGGAACAGCTGAGGGAGCTGGGATTATTTAGTCTGGAGAAGAGGAGGCTCGGGGAGGCCTTATCGCTCTCTATAACTACCTGAAAGGAGGTTCTAGTGAAGTGGGGGTTGATCTCTCTTCCGGAATAACTACTGATAGGACAAGAGGAGATGGCCTCAGGTTGAGCCAGGGAAGGGTCAGATTAGATATTAGGAAAAAATTTTATATGGTAAGAGTAGACAAGCATTGACTGCTCAGGGAGGTGGTGGAGTCACTGTCCCTGGCAGTGTTCAGAAAACATGTAGATGAGGCACTTAAGAACATGTTTTAACAGGCATGGTGGTGAAAGGGTTGTGATTGGATTCTATGGTCTTAAAGTTCTTTGACAATTGTAGAGGGTGGCAGCAACTACCCTTACTTATGCTGCTTTAAGCAGAGCTCTCTTCTGCACTGAAGACTGTGCTCCCCTTTGGGAGCCTTGAGGTCCCCAAAGGGTGGCAGTATAGACACAGCCTGTGCTCCCCAGGAGGTGACTCATGGCTTTACAGCTTCTCCCTTGGGTGCAGGATGGGGGAGTGTGCCTGACTAAGCTTGTGCTGTTCTGGAAAATGGAAAATCTGTAAGGATGCCATAAGATCTTGTATTGTCACCCTTGTAACCTCTTTGTCTCATGATAATAATTCATCAAGATCAGGACACACTTTATTTTCATTTTGAACTCTGAAGTTGCAAGATGTTAAACACACTGGATTCGATAGTGTCTGCATTTGAAGTTATACAGCTCAAGTAAAATTGCCGCTTTCCTCTTTTTAGTTCCTGTCAATGTCCACTGTGATATAGCCTACTTGTAGCATTTAGCAGAGTAAATGTAATGTATTTGCAGTGAAAAGTCCATGTCCTTTACTGCTAATATTGATGTTATAATTAGGGTCTGGATCTTGCAGAGTTAGCTGTGTAGAATTAACATCATGGGGAATGGGGCTGCAAGGCAGTCTCCTACTACTGCCTTACTGGGTAAGTAAGTATGAGTGATCTGTTATATTGTGCACGTCATCCACACCGAATGGGGTTGAACCATGGGCTCAGCGATCAAATGGTTTCTATATTTGAGTTTTGACTCAGACAGTGGTAGTAATTTGGGGAGTATGGAAAAGTAGGAAGGGAACTTAGACTTGTTTCTGTTTTTGGCGGCTGATGCAGATCACTGCCTCCAGACAAACAAGCGTAAGGTCCCATGAGATGGGGGGAAGAGTTCTGGGGCATAGGGGGAATTACTATTTGAATAAGGAGATGGGAAGTAGTGCCAGGATGGAACAGAAGGGAAGCATGTGCTTCAAGCTCACTTCATTCATTATGCTGGATAGGCCATTTACGACAGAAAATGACCACAGAACTTTCATGTTTTTCTCAGTAGATTTAATTTCAGAGGTGCTTATTATTTTGCAATAAATTAAACAGAAAAGAAATGCTACATACCTGCCTGTTGAATACTTGCTTAGGAATACAGCTTATATAATTCTTACATAAGTTAAAATAAATCAATTTTAAGACATGTCAATTTGTATTTACATATTAAAATGTCATAATGGAGCTGCTCCCACACTTATTAACACTTCATAGCTTTTTCTAAGAAGAAAAAAAGTTAGTATTTATCTTGTCTGGGCTCTTCCTTGGTATGTATGAAACTGTCAGCTGTGCTTGTTTTTCATCTTTCCTTATCACTCGCCTAGAAGCTTGTTAGTTGGCATTTCCTGATAATTAACAGCTCTTTGGGATCTAGTAGTCAGATCAATATTCACAGTGTTGTTCATTTGATAAATAGCATCCTGTCTTGGGTCCAGGACATGTGGGAGGAGCGGAATTTTTTTCCCCATGTTGTTCTCACTTGTAACCATCTCACCAACTTTTATCCTGCTTTCTGCGGGTGGTGGAGCTGTCTGCATCTTCCCTAGTGCTCCCTTGAGGCAGGCGTCCTCCTGGCTGGTATCCAGCCATTCCCAAGGATCTTGTCAGAGGATATGTGGCACAGAGTCTGCTTGGCTTTTCATGGCCCCAGCCTCTTCATTTCGAGTTGTTGATCTGCAGCTGGTTTAAAATATTCGAGTAGGCTTTGGATTTCAGAAATCTAGGGTATGAATCCCTTTCCATGAGGATGAAGACTGTTCTTTGGGCTTCATCAAAACTTGTGTGAGTTGGGTCTTGCGCCCTTTTGGCTGTTGCTTCCCTTGTATGATAGTCGATGTTGATCTAGAAAGAGGAAAAGGTCATTCGCATCTTAAATACAGAAAAAAGAAGTAAATTTATTATTTTGTCTTGTCAGTGAATAAGTTCCTAGTCATAGACCCTGTATGATATTCATTATGGGAATTGCAAAAAAAAAAAAAAAAAAAAAAAAAAAAGAAGGAGGGGGGGGGGTAGTACTTAAAAGTTACATTCTAGGTAAGCACAAAAATTGCTACTCAATATATAAATGCACTTTTTATGAAGTGAGAACTAATAAGATTAAACTATAGAGGGGGCACATTTAAAAAAAAAAAAAAGAAAAAGAAAAGAAAAACTTCTGATTAAGATGTTAGGAGAAACTGTGTAAAATGGAAATCTTGAGTTTACAATACCGTCAAAGTGCAATACTTTTAGTTTTCCCCAAGTGCCTTCCTATTTTAAAGGAGAAGAGGAAACCCACAGCTCTGCTACCAGCAGAACTTGCTCTGAGCACCTGACTCCAGGCAGCAGCAGTGGCTCCGGGCGGGCTGACTCAGACCCGTGTCACGTGTGGAGCCGCTGGCGCGACTGCGGGGCCGCTGCTGCTCCTGCTCTCGGGCCTGCGTGATGTGGCTGTGCTGGTGAGAACTGATAATCTCCCAGCTGAGGCCATTAATGTGTCAAGTCAGCTCGTAAATACATGCAAACACACCTTCCTATGTAAACGCAGCTCCGTGAATCTATATTTGCCTCTTCTGATTTTTCCAAAATCCTTCTACCTGTAACACTGCCCAGATTGATTTTTTTAATTACCTGTTTAATAGCATCTGCCCGAACAAACTCGTCATAAATCCTCTCCGCTTTGCCATGTAAGCGATCGGACTTGGTTTTCTTGTAATCCTCACAGGCCAGCCAGAACTCAATGTTCTCCTCGCTGAACTCGGACCGCAGGAACTCCCGAAAGATACCTTGGCCACCTGTAGCCAACACAAACACATCATCATTTATAGCACAACAGTTGTGACCAGGGAGAATAAAATAAACAGTTTATAGCAGAAGGCCTGCTGAAATCGGTTTTAAAATCTTGCCAAAAATGAACCTTATTACCCTTCTTCAACATCTTGCTAGTCTAATTTCAAGGACGATGGGGTCTTCCTATTGACATTCAATGTGTGGTGCATTTTTTTGTTTGTTTCTTTTTGGAACTAGACCTTGAATATTAATGAAGCATATTAATGGATTCTGGATTCTAGTCTTCTCTAAATGGACTGTCCTTGTACATAATGCATACATAGTTCCAAATTATATGGGGAAGTGTTATGTAAGAACAAAAGTCTGATCAAAAATAGTAAATTAAGTTTTTTTCTTTCTTATCTTCCTTTTGTTCCCCTTCTATAATGGGAATGGGAAATGGTGGTGATGGAGGACCTGGATCCAAAGCTGACTACCCTAGCCATGTTATGGTTATACCTAGTTAGCAGCTGAGCTGTGAATACTTTTCATACTTCATACTTTTGAATTAGTATGTTTCATATTGAGGTATTTGAGTATATTGTATTTTAGTTTTGAAGTACTTCATACCTCATACTTTTTATGAATTTTCGTAATTCATACTTTTGACCTGCTTACACAAAACTTCACCCTCAAAAGAAAGTACGTACTTTGGCTGGCCAAGAGCTTTTCCAAAGACTGAGACCACTGCATTACTTCTTCTGCAGAAAACCTAAGTTGACAAGAAAAAAGAAAAGATCTTTAAGCAAGGAATCACATGTATATACTTAAAGGAAATAAGCATTACAATTTCTTATTCTGTTCTAGGAACAAATACCAGTGATTTGTTGAATTTACCACTGACTCCTGCAGAACTGAGGCCTTGAGAGTAAGCTCAGGTTGAGGAAAAATAAGCAGAGCTGGGAAACAAGAGCCTGGGGAGTTACCCTGTTCCCAGAAGGATGAGCTTATACTGTAACTATGACCAAATCATTTTGTGCCTCTGAACTACTTTTCAGAGGTGCTCTGTACGGTAGTTCGGATACTGCTGCATCTCTGCATTTCACTGTGTCGTGAATTCTTTCTTGCAAGACATCATTAGCAGATACAATATGCTTCTGAATGAAATGTATAGAAGTGAGGAACCTTTCCTCCATCTTTTCACACGGGCACATATATATATACATATATAAAAAACACTAAGAAATATTTTTCAGCTCCATGAACAGTTTTTGCTTCCTAACATTTACCTCTTGTGCTTTGGAAACTGATATTATTGATATCAGTCAGTAGCAGAAATATTTTTTTGCTCTTGCAGTACTTTAGAAATTAATAAATGCAATAGTTTTTAACATATAATAGCTATTGTTATTTTTTGTTATAGTTTGCTGTATATCAGTACTTACATAACATTTCTGTGGTTAGAAGACTTGATCCCAGATTCCAGATGTGGTACCATGCACTTCAAATAGTTCTTGAGATCTGTACCACTGAAAGCAGTGAATAGACATTTGTAATGTATTGAAACTGCAATTGCATTTTAATTCTTCATAAACTTCCTAAGACTTCTAAACAGAGGCAAACAAATCCGTCCTATGATTGATGCTTGGCAAGTTAGCTATCAAAGTAATAGCTTTCAAAAGACTAAGAGACTCCCAGTGTACCTAAATCTTTTCCTGCTTAGTTCAGAAAATCAGTTAATTGATTTCCATCAACTCAAGCCATTTTTAATGGTAATATTGCCCTAGACTTTGAACAGGCTTTGCAATGAGTTAGCTTGAAAAATGGCGCGAAGTCACAATCTCAAAGTTTCTAATGTTAGTTTCACTTCAAAAAAGACAGAACTTATGTGTATACTTACAAAGCCTTTTGCTTTTTCTTATGAATTTTGCCTTCTGCAAGCTTGCAGTCGTCTTTTGTGTTCAAGTCAGTCATGTTGTTGTGGGAAAAAAATAATCCTGGCATTATGCTCAACTTGGATGCGCGATGAGTTTCGCCCCAGTAATCCTCCAAGCACCGAGTGCCGGCTCGCTGCCTCCGCCGCCGCCTTTTATTGACGCAGGTGGCCCCGCTGGCTGGTGCGAACCGATGTGTTTATCGTGTATCCTCATCGCAAACTGGGGAAGTTCCCCTTTTTTTGGGTGCGTGGTGACGTGAGTCTCTTTAAGAAAGAAAACAGACAGTGGTGTCTCGTGGTTGAGTTTCAACCGGATGAGACTGAATCGTTTGGGTTTGTTTTTTGCCTCTGTGTGTGCTACAAAAAAAAAAAAAAAAAAGTTCCCCCCACCCAGAACTTCTTGTCCTTTTCTGATTGGTGCTTTCAAACACGAAGCACTTCTTGGTTTGATCAAATGTGCTCCTAGTATTGCAGTTTCATCTTGACTAAGTTCATCTACTAAATGCCTGACATACCGACTCTGTTCTAAAATCCAGCATTTCACAGTTGATTTGATGGAAATGATGGTATAGTAGAAGAAAAATCTTTTGAGATATGCCAATATCAAGGGTCTGTATTCAAAAAGATATTTGCAAATCATTTATTAGTTACTGCTGAAAACAAAGTATTTTGAAGCATCCGACTTGTTTAGATACATATGTAGGGGAGATTGTTGTCTGCAGAGGCAATATGAGCACTACAGTGTGTTGGATGTATATGTGCGTTTTACTCGTACTTCTGTTCTACTACAAAGGTGCCACCATCAATAACGGAATGCTCTAGGTGACCCTGCATGTGCAGGGGGGTTAGACTAGATGATCTCTAGAGGTCCCCTCCAACCTTAAGCATTCTATGAATACAGAGCAAGATGAAGAATTGTCACTAGGGAGAGAGAAAGAGATGGGAATTGCCTTCAATTATCCTTCTGGATTGATGATTGAGACATCAAGTACTTGATCTGGTACTCAGTGATCCCAATATTTGTGATTTCAGGGAAACCTCAAAGATGTGAGTTCATTATGCTGTGCAAACAATTCTGATTTCTCACAAATAGCTCACAAAGAGCTTGTACAGAGCTGCATAAGCTTGTGGTAACAGAGAGGCTGCTTGCACATCATGGGTTTGGTGGTGGATTGTGGTGCTGAGGGCTGAGGGAGGCAAAGCCACATGCAGGACAGGCTGGTTAAACCTGCATAGGGATGACTGCGACCACAGGAGGGCCAGTGGTCCTCTGCGTTCTATCGGTGACACAAATCTGTCTGCAGAGGCTGTACGTCAGGAAACATCAGTTTCACGTTATCAGGTAGGCTTGACCTTTGCATAGGAGGGTTTGAGTTACTATCCTCCCCTCAACATGCACACACCCAAACTAGGCTAAAAGGGAAGGCAGAGATGTTATCAGCCCCGTATCTGTTTCATCCCTAGCGTGCTGATTTTTGACGCATGATGGGATGCCAAGGGCGCTGAGTTTCTTCAGGTAGCAGTTCTTAGCTAACCAGTGGGAGGATTACAGAGAAGACGGACTCAGGCTCTTCTCAGAAGAGCACAGTAGGGAGGGTAAGGGGCAACAGACCCAAGCTGCAGCAAAGGGTGATCTTACCTGGTCTCCTAGAGAGTAAGAGAAAAGATCAGTGAGAATGAAGCAGATGGTTCAGAGAGTTTGTGCTATCTATGTCCCTGGAAGCAGAGAACAGCTGAAGCCTTGAGTAACCTGTCCTAATCTTGGAAGCTATTTGCACTTGGAGCAGGGGTTGAGCTAGATGGTCTCTTCTAACCTAAACTATTCTGATTCTCTTCTGTAATAAGGGCCTTTTTTTTTTTTTCTTCAGATGATTGTTTTGTTTTGTTTTCAAAGTCGCCAAAGTTTTTAAAATGAATCTTTAACAGGTTGTTTCTGACATAATGCATGCATTATCTTGGCTTATATTTGACCTTCCTATGAGTCTGAAGCCTTCACCCTCTATGCCTATTATACTTTTTGACTCCCTTTTGGGAGATTCCTTTTCTTGTTAATGTTTTTCTGAACCCACTCAGGTATGATTCGAAGGTAGCAGATATCAACAGAAATAATGACAGCTTTTTTTTTTTTTAGCTGATTTTTCTATAGATTAGGGGAAGTTTTGAATACACGGAAAGTCAAGTATATTCAAAGAAGTGTCTATTTGAAGAAGGATAGTATATAGCCCTTTAAAAGCTGTAAACTTTTTTACATAGTTGAGTTCTAGGGCATATAGTAGCCTTTACCGTTAGGATTGTGTCTCTGCTAGCTTGGAGGAAGTCCAAAAGGAGGAATAGGTGGAGTACTGGATAGTAGAAAGAGGAAGAGTTGTGGTTACCAAGCAGAGGAGAGAGATGAGATGGCCTAGCATTAGCTGTTGTTCTCATGAAAACATGCCATTTACAAGTTCTGAAATTCTAACACTTTTAATACTGCTGAAGTTACGTGTTGAGCTTCTAAGCTGCCATCAGTGAGTTCTCTCCAGTACCCCCAAAGGAGTAAATCTCAGTCTCTGTTTTCCTTTTTCTATTCCTCATCCCGATGCAAAGAGGGCAATGTTACTTTTCTCATTCACTGGGAGTTACTAGTGTAAAAATTCACGTAAGACTGGCAAGGTAGTAAAAGACTGAGTTCTGAACATCTGGTTTGGAAAAGTCAGGGATGAGGAAGAACTGCACCTAGGTTTGCTTCTACCTTAGGATTATATGAAGTTTAAAGGCAATGTAAGGCAACAGCTTCTTTACCTCTGCCTGTAAGCCTGGCTCAAATTCAGGTTGACAGAGCCTGGGGATGGGGCCCTATATTTTCCAATAAAGTCAAAAACTTGCCAAAACCTGGAACAATAATACATTATAATAAACCTCAAAACCTATTTCATTGAGAAATAAATCTTGAACTTCCCATTTGAGATGGTATTATTCACATTTTCTTCTTATGTTTTTGCTGTGATGAGCAATTACTTTCTTCCACTGAGTAACTCTCATCTTCAAGTGATACTTCTCTCTCTTGATGGAATGTTTAACTCACTGATTCACTCTTCCTGGACATAGTTATCTATATTTAAGGCTTTATTTGTTGAGTCCAGTGTGAATTATTTTATTCCAAGAACAGGAAAAGTGTCTCCAAGACCTAGGTGTGCACACAACTGAAGTGAAATGGAAAAGAGAAACTATATGCATAATAGGGATGGCAAGAATTTTTCTAGGACTTAATTTGTGCTTTGCCTCTAAACCATAGGAAAGCAAGAAAATGCCTGTATGGAATTTCTTAAATTAAAAGTATTTTGCTGGCTATGAACATGGTTATTGTGGAGGACCCTAGTTTGAGGAGCAGTTGGACTAATGTCTCTAGATGGAATAGATATGTCCCCTTCAACCTACATGATTTTATTATTCAGAATATACTAGATAAATCATCTTTTAAGAATAACTGACACTTTTAAGGTCAAAGTATATAGTGCCTTAAAATCTTATGTGCTTATCCATATTCATGTTCACTAAGCTTACTTCCTAAGGACAGAATTGTAGTCCAGGCTCTGGTCAGATTAAACATGGTACCATGTGCAATAGTTAGGACATAACTCTGAATTTTTTTTTCAGTTATTTCTGTTCTATTTATTTACTTATTTTTTCCTGTTTGTCCATTATTGTTTAGTAATAGACCCATTTCTTTCAATTTCCGCCATCTTAATTTCCCTACTTTCCTCTGCTTTGCAGAGGATGAGCCACTTGACTATTTTCTTTTCTTAATAATTAGTTGTCTTTTATCTATTGTTCTTATTACGATAAATTGCAAAAAATGTATGTTGAGTCCGGTAATTTTAAAGACTTATTAGAGTAACCCCATCATTTAATTTATAATGCTTTCTGTCCGAAGGTTGGCACATGTCTATTTAACTCTTGCGTGATTAAAAAGACAGGGAAGAGGGAAGTTTTTGGGAGGAGCATTTTGTTTTCTCAACCAGCAACAATAGCATAGTTGGCTACAAACATCTGTGTTCTACTGTTTTCCAAGTCTCTTGTAACATTGCCCTGAGTAATTCATCAAACATCTTAATGTGCAAGAAAGTGCCCAATATGCAAAGAAGAAACTTTCAAATACTTGCTAATATTCCAGCTAATCATGTTTCCGTGCATTCTTTTCCATTGCTTTCAGCAATAACTTGATAGAGCGCAAGGGAAAGATGAAATGTGAGAGAATTTCCAAGATGACACCACTAAGTTCAATGAAGTTCAAGCACATAAAAAGTCCCAGGAACTCTCTACATCCCCATTCCCCGTAAATCATTTTGAGATTCTTTTCCACCTCCACTTCTAGGAGGCCTCCCCCTTAGCTCGTGCTGGTTTCTGCGTGTTGCCCTTTGGGCAAGCTGTTAATTCCCTCGCTAGCCCGTGCGCCGTCCAGCCAAGCTGCGCCAGCTCCTGCAGTCACGAGGGCTGAGCTTGAGCCCAGCTATGAAAACAAGTGATTTCTTTGAAACGCTGCTGTCTTTTACATGACCTGAGGAGGTAAACAACTGATAATCCATCTCATGAGTAAGAGAGGAAATAGAAACTGGTTTCTACATATGAAAGGAAATGGAGTTTTTTTTAAAAAAGAGAGCTTTTTTTCCTCAATATTGAGAAGGAGGGGTAATATTTTGATCTGTAAAGCTGTCTCTATATCTCATGCAGTCGATCCATAATTAATATAGTTAAGTGTATTTAGATATATATTTTTTTCTACAAACTCTTTTCTAGGATGCAATTTTGAAGCCACTGAGATTGGTAAAAATGTTGGTCCTCGCTTTAATGACCTCATTCTTGGTGTTGGACTGATCTGCTTTAGACTTTTTTTGAGACCTATTTCTTTATCTCGAACTTTCAGATGTTTCAAATAGTAGCTTTTATTCCTGACTGACTCAGTGGATTATTTTTCTTGTCATTGTTAAGACATAATCAGAGCTCAATGTTCTCAGACTTCTCATAGTGCAAGAGGACATTTATATTTGAAAAATATTCTCAATTTTAATGGGCTATGTGCCATTTAAAACATG